GGCAAGTCCCTTTTCTCATCTGTAAAAGGAAGGAGCTGTAGTCCTAAAGTTCTTTGCATTGTGTTATCTCCCCACAAAAAACATGGGATCTACCAAAGTAGCACTGTCTGCCTTGTCTGCCTAGGACTGAGTCTGAGAACAGTTCCTGGTACCTTGGTCATGCTCAGGAGATACTCATTGATACTGAAAAATCTATGCTGCACATTGGTCATTAAAAAAGTGGGGTTTTTCCCCATGTACTAGTATAGTCTTCACTATTTTTTAAAGATCTTTCACACAACAGGCACTCAACTCTCACTGTTTTGATTTTCAGGGGAAGGCACACCTTACTTGTTAATATAGAAATGCAGGCATGGAGAAGCTTCCTGGAGTGGGAAAAGTGTTGTCTATGTATTGGAAAACCTGGTCCACTTACTACTGTGTGATTTGGGGCAAGCCATTCCATTTCTCCCTACCTGCAAGGTCAGAGGGCTGAACTGGATCCTTAGGATCCTTCTGGCAGCACAGCTCTGACTCTGGTCCTGTTCTGTTACATATAACAAATGGGTATTAAGGACAGATGAGTCCATGGGGAAGGATGTGAGGCTGCAGAGGCATTGGTTCATTAGAAACATCAAGACAGGCAGACTCTCTTTTTATGTGCACCATCTAAAATCCTTTATGAGTATCAACTGTGGTGACTCTTTCTTTGCTGTTATTGGTTCAACAAAGCAGGTCATTGGCCTCAACCACATCTCATACTCACTGTCCTGGGGTGCAGACACCATGAGAGAAAGCCTGCCAGCTTGCAAGTCCATGAAATGTTCGCATTATTTAAAATGTGCAACTGCGCTCTAGTCGGTTTGGCTCAATGGATAGAGCATCGGCCTGTGGACTAAAGGGGCCTGGGTTCAATTCAGTTCAAGAGCACGTATCTTGGTTACAGGTTCAATCCCTGTCAGGGCATGTGCAGGAGGCAACCAATTAATGTGTCTCTCTCGCACCAATCTTTTTCTGTTTCTCATCCTCCCTTCCACACTTTCTAAAAAAAAATAAAATAAAAAAATGTGCAATTGTGGGGATCCTGAGGATTCTGCTATGACTTTTTTTTTTATCATCACAAATGCTAGGTCACTCTATGTAGAGGCCTTTTTAAAAAAGTGACTAGAAAAACATTCCAATAGTGATTCTATCATATTAGCATGACCCTAATTTATTCAGACCAAGGTCTTTCGGTCCCATTAGTAAGAGCCAATTTGTTCCAGCATTGCTATGGAAGGGAAACTTTCAGTTTGAGGAATGAAGAGAGAGACACATGGTCAGCTAGGGTGGCCAGCAAGACTGTAATTATGCTTGAAAAGGCAGTCTTCTGAAGAAGGGCCCAGAGGGATGGAGAGGACCAGGAAGCAGAGAAGGAAGGATGAGCCTGTGGGCTCTATGGGCTCTCCAGTGGCCCAGCAGGGCTACATTACGGTGGTCTTCTGGGTTTTTACTTCCTGTGGACTTTATAATTCTGCATTTTGCAGGGGGCGTGGTTTAGCCTGTGGGGTGGAATACTCTTGTGTAGGATTAACAGTCTGTATCCATATACATAAAAGCCTAAGGGACTGCCCGACCATTCAACGGGCACCTATGACGCGCAATGACCACCGGGGGCAGCTCAACACAGGAGCTACCGAGCTGCGGTGATTTGGCAGCTGTGGTTCTCGGGTGACGCACCCGGAATCAGAGAGGAGGGAGCCCGATTCTGGGGTGCGTCACCTGAGAACCGCCCTCTCTCAATCCGGGACCCCTCAGGGAGCTGGTTCTGGCCCGATTCCCGCAGGCCAGGCTGAGGGACCCCACCAGTGCACCAATCTGTGCACCGGGACTCTAGTCAGAATATATTGTTGATGGCAGTGGCCATGGGCCCAATTTCAATTTTTAAAATATGCAAAGAATGGAAAGATATAACTCAAAATGTTGGCAGTCAGTTACTTTCTCTGGGGACCCCTCAGGGAGCTGGTTCTGGCCCGATTCCCGCAGGCCAGGCTGAGGGACCCCACCAGTGCACCAATCTGTGCACTGGGACTCTAGTCAGAATATATTGTTGATGGCAGTGGCCATGGGCCCAATTTCAATTTTTAAAATATGCAAAGAATGGAAAGATATAACTCAAAATGTTGGCAGTCAGTTACTTTCTTCTCTAATTATGAGTTTTTCCATTATTTTTCTTTTTGTGTTTTGAATTTTCAACAAAGAACTTGTATTAGTCTTATATAGTCAGGGAAAATTCTTATATTAACACCATTGTTTATTTTAGGTAATAAAAGAATATATAACTTGTTATAAAAATATTTTTATAAAGGTGTGATGTTACAAATTAATAAAATATATCAATTCAATTTCTAGAAAATAAAGCTTAAAGATATCAACTGTCTCAAAAGATAGAGAGGTTTTCCTATACAAGCACTCACTCTACTGGTGACTTAGAGAATATACTTACTCTGACATTTCTGAAATAATTGAATTATTTTCCACAAGCACTAGAGGGCAGGATTTTTATTATGAAACTCAATTTCACCAATCATCACTACATTACATGCTTTTTTTCTTGTGTATGGTTTCCGTTAATATGTGATAAACTATCACTATGTTTATTACATGCTGTTTTTGGACTGTGCTTCTAGTCACATGATAACTTTAACTTAAAGGTTGACTCTCATGAGATATTTAATAGCTTTTTTATCATATAAAATTAATTTATCCCTACTTATATACTGAAAGGAACTAAAACATATATACAATGTACATATGTAAAAACTGTATTTTTCGGGCTATATTAGTAAATATGTAATAAGTTTCTGATCTGACACTATCTCATATTTAAATTGAATGACTAATAAGCACATTGAAAATTGAGGTCCATCACTACTGCTTCTAGTTTTTAAGAAATGCAAAGATAATTAATTTTTAAGAAATTAGTTCAATGTCCTCAAAATCCCAGATCTTTAAGAGAACACAAAAATGCTTTTCTCAAACTCCAAAAGCTGCTAACATCTATGAGGCTTATGAATTCTGGTGGTGATGGAAGAGAAGCTGAGAGGGAAAATGACATTCCAGGAAGTGAGAGCAGCAAGAGAAAAGTCATGGCATATCAAAAGTAAGTTGCATATTTGGGGTTGTCAAGGTAATCTGATATGTGACTATAGTATAGGGAGTGTTGGAGAAATAGCTGAAGTTGGAAAAGCAGAGAAGGGTCAATTGGGGAAGGACTGTTGTGCTATTCTTGGGATTTGGACTTTATTAACCCTTGATAAGTAGATGGATACTGTGATCTTTAAGACAGACTTGGGATTTTAATAAGTCTAAGTGCAAAGTGCTTTCTGAAATCTACACTGCAAGATCTACTAAACAGCTGGAAATGCAGGGCTGAAATTCAGGGGAGAAGTGAAATATATAAGTAAGTAAAAGAAAAAAATGAGATTTAAATTTTGTGTGACTATGAAGTCTCATGATATTATCTATATTAGACACATAACCCTTGTTAAAATAACTGATGTCAACGGGCAGCAACATAACATACATTTGAATTGAACACTGTATCACTTAGCACAATAAACTTTCAAACCGCATAGTACCGACGGTATATTATGGGATGGAACTGCACTGTTAGCTATATCTTAGTCAATTTAGATGATTAATTGATCATTATCTACCTCAAACACAAAATATTTATTGGCAAACGCATGATGTATATTTCATATATTACAGGTAATTTATTAAGATGCTGTATATGCACACATACAATTTTTTTAAATGAAGCCAAAATTTTTATATATTTTTAAGAAATAAAAATGAGTTTACTGTGAGTAAAAATACTCCATTTTACTAATGAAGGCCAGTAGAACAATGATTATTAACAATTATCGTTAGTATTAAATTTGATATTTAGAGCCCCTCATATAAATCTTCTTATTTGATCTCTACAAGCTGTCCATTAGGTGAGCTAGAGTTGGCAGTAACAGCAACAGCAACAACTATAATGCTCTGATAACAGTATCTTTAACATAATTTATTTTCTATTCTTCATCCTTCACCCTTCCCCTACCCCAACACCGCAATTTGTAGGATAAAGTAGAGGTCTTAGATGCACTTACTTGGAAATTTATACTTAAAACCTGAGCTTTTCTGGTATAAATAGATTAGAAAACACTGCCTACTGAATTTTCTGAAACTCTTTAAAACACAAAATAGAGACCATTATGAAATGGATCTAATCTGGTCTAGACACATAAATTGAGTGTCATGCTCTGGCTGGTGTCTTCAGTGGTTAGAGCATTGGCCCAAACACCAAAGGGTCACAGGTTCAATTCCCACATACCTGGGTTGAGGGTTCGTTCCCTGCCCTGCCTCCCCCCCGTCCTCTCCCCATAGGAGTGGGTACAGGAGGCAACCAGTCAATGTGTCTCTCACATTGAGGGATGTCTGTCTCTCTTTCTCCCTCTCCCTCTCCCTCCTCCCTTCCACTCTCTCTGAAAAGCAATGGAAAAAATATACTCTGGTGAGGATTAGCAACAAAAAACAAAAAATTAAATTGGGTGCCATAAATGCTTGCTAATTGTTACACAAGTTTAAATATGAGGAAAAGTCCAATCCAATTAAGTTGTTATGTCTGACCATTTATACCTAAATTTAATAACATTGCTGATATTAATTTAGCCTTCATTCATGAAGTGTTTTAAATAAAATGCCATTCTCGAAAGACAAATAGCTTTCTAAGATTCTTCCTAGTTCATTTCTTGAATTTCATTTTTTTTAAAAACCAGTGCATTGTCTATATATGGAGTTAAACACTCCTCTCCATTTATCTAAAGGCTGAGCCAAGCTAAAACCTTTGTATCATTGTATTTTATAGGTTAAAGACTGGGACCTGAACATATTACCTCCCAAATAAGCAGCCTCTTGCTTTTATTCGCTTTAGTATTTTCATGAGAGATGCAATGCGTTAAAAAGCAACTAGAAGAAACACATATACTTACTTGAACCTGGCAGGTGAAAGAGGAGTAGGAGGAAACATTCCTGGCTCAAAAGAGTCAAAGTAAGTCACTGTCCAAGAAAAGCTGCAGCAGGAGAACCCAGCAGTTAGGGATATTATAAGTAGAGTCCAGAATCCTTAATGGGAAGAGAGAAGGGGAAAGCTTGAATTATTAACACCCAAACAATTAAAATTAAACCAGTACCCTCACATTCAGATAATACGCATTTCTGATCTTTTGATTTATATATATAAGTGATATAAGAGATTTGAGTTTAGTACAAGTTAACCCATGTAGAAGTATAAAACTATGTCATATCATTTAATATTTAATTCAATTATAATTTAATATTTGGAAAAGAGTACAAATTCAACTGAAGAGTATAACTTATCTTCAGTTTTATAAAATTCAACTATAGAAAAAAACGGTTAAAACACTTCACTGTTAACATTTCTTCATTTAACTTTGTAAATCACAACTTGCTGTCTTTTATTACTTTAGCACTAAGTGATTTCTTTCCATACCAATGCACCTTTGACATATGAATCAATTTTTGAGTGTCTACTCTTTATAGTTTTCCTATGAACACCATAAATTTAATCTGATTCTTTTACCTTGCTCAGTATATGGACATAAGTTAACTCCCAATTTATAAATGCGTAGGGATCCTAAATTTTATTTTCAGTTAGATTGGACCTACATTTTCTCAAATCAAGTAGAAACCATGGCGACTATACTGGGGGAATGAAAAGGGCAAAGGGAAGAGAATTAGAAGAGGAGGGGGAATAAACACAGGGTAAACAGAATGAATTGATTTGAAGGTTTTTAGGTTAGTTCACGTTGCCTCCTTCAGAGAGTTTACAAAGCCACAACTACTGATAAGTGTGTGTTCCAGGCCTCAGTAGTACAACGGAGAAGGAAAGGTTGAGAAGATTGCAATAGAGAATTACCAAATTTCCTGGCTACACAAAATTGCACAACCAAAGATGGCTTTATTTTTTAGCAAGAAGCAGGTAAGAAATATGTACTATGGACTGCTTGTAAACCATATGAAGCCCAATAACAGAGTGGTAAAACTGCTAAAAGAAAAACTCAGGGCAATAAAGCATCAGGAGAAACTGTGGCAAAGTACTTTTGAAAGATTAATTTTTCTCTTATAGTTAGCTCCCTTTCCTTTACCCCCTTTTAAAGATAACAGACTTTGTGTTCACTGCCCCAGGAGGAGGATGTGGCAAAAAAGGAGAACTAGCCCGAGTGTCTCTTTAGTTGTGTTGCAGTTAAGGGAACTAGGAGGGTAAGTATAAGCAGTAGTTAAACACAAAATGTCTCCAAAAGTAAGTTGACTGAGGTATATTTGTATAGAACAGGGAGAGAGTAGGGCTTTATCTATAGGTGATAGATTCCCCCATTTGAAGAACGTGGGTTATGTGTGGTGTTTGCACTTGTGGGTGTATAACAGGGAGGGGGTAATGCTACGGGGGCTTCCTAGTAGTTATCAAGAAAAGGCCACACAACATCAGAAAGGGATTATAGCTACGGTACCTTGACAGATGGACCCATAGCTAAACTTGCAGGTGCCTCTACCCCGAGTGTGTCACAAAAACAGTAGATTGTCACTTGGCTGGAAGATGCTACATATGAAAGGCCATCCTGACTGGAATGCAAGATGTTTCAGCAGTAACTCATTTGGGCAAATGTTTTGAGGACTACAAAGTACTCCCATTCCAGTATCCTGGAACAGTGTCAGGTAGAACCATAACTTAACCTAGGACTGACTAAACAGAACTTCTACAGTAAAGACTTGAGATACAACCTTCCTGCCAACCAGTAAGACAGGAGATAGAAGTAGAAATTATAAGATTACTTAGTATACAACTACAACTAAAGGGTGACTACACTGCCAGACAGCTGTTTTGATATTATTATTTAGATGAATATCCACCTCTAAAGGGGAGAAAATAAATGACATGGTTTACTCTAAGTTTTGCATCTTATAATACATAAAAGTCTGTTGAACAAAGATGGTAATTAAGAAAAATTTAGTATCTGTTTAGGGACTGCTATTGAATGATGGGGAATTCTAATATCTAAAAAAGTAGGAAAGACAAAATAACATTAAAACAAAATGTGAGGCTCTCTAAAGCCCATCAAGCTGTTTCACTCAGGTGCTTCAATAGAATAACTATCAAATTTAATATAAGAATAATCTTGAGAACCCAACAAACTGCAGATTTCAACTCCTCGCACTCATAAAGGACACACTCAAGAAGCAGAATCAGGTTCGGAGGAAGCCGGAACCGGACCCGGCTGGGCTGGCAACATGGAACCGCTGTACCGGCAAACGCACAAACAGGTCCACCAGATCCAGTCTCACATGGAACGCCGGGAGACGGCAGACAAGCAGTCTGTGCACTTAGTAGAAAACAAAATCCAAGCAAGCATACCAGATATTCAGCCAGCAAGAACGCCTGGAGATTTGTCCAGCAAGGAGCTGTCCAACAAAAGACAGAATACCAAACTTCGTGTTGGCCAGTTAAAGTAGATGTCCAGCACCTGCAGACTGCTCTCAGAAACTTCCAACATTGGCAATATGCAAGGGAGCAGCAGGAGAGATAGCGAGAAGAGCTTCTGTCTTGCACCTTCACCCCCAACGTGGGATGCGGTGCCCCCTGCGAGGCTGAGATGGCCCCTGCAAGGCTGAGACGGCCCCTGCGAGGCTGAGACGGTCCTGGTGAGGCTGAGATGGTCCCTGTGTGGCCGAACACAGGGACATGTCACGGATGGAAATAGCTACATTTTCTATGTGTATGACCCGGCAACAACAAGGGGGGGGGGGGTAAGGGCAGAGGGTGGGGTGGGAACTGGGTGGAGGGGAGCTATGGGGGGAAAAAAGGGGAACAACTGTAATAATCTGAACAATAAAGATTTATTTTTTAAAAAAAGGAATAATCTTGAGTTTTCAGACATGACTACTATTTCATGATCTAAGTTGTTGCCCCACTTTGGGCATTTTAATAATTTTATATTCATTTTGAACTAATCAATTGCTGTATCACTAATAAAAGTCAGGTCACAATGAAAAGGCTAAAACAGCACACTGTACTATCCTGGCCTAGAATTGCCGTTTCTGAAAATTACTCAATTCATTTATAAACAAGCAGAAAAACCAGAGGTTGGCAACTCCCAACAACTAAATTTGCAACAAGTCCCCATCTTGAGTCCTGAAGCTAAAAATTTGACAAGTGTTTTGTAAACCCATTTTACCAAGATTTGACATAATTTTAAAAGGTATAAAGGCATCTAAAAATTAAGTTACAGTCTTCCTTCCCCAATTCACTAATTCCACTCCTAAAATCAATCAGCTAAGAGTCTGCTGTGTATATTTTCTAAAAAGTACAGCCATCTAGGTAATGTAGGTAGATATATGGAGCTCGTTATGAATAATTTATATATACATGGATATATATATATATATAAATTTGCATATATACACACACACACACACATACATACATATATTTGCTTATTTTCTACAAACGGGATTCTCACCAGAAATATTGTCCCATACTTTGGTTTATTTAATAACAATGTTGGAGAGCTTTCATATCAGTATATAGAGCCACAATTCTGCTGCATATTTTTATTATTTAAGTATCTCACTATTATTTTTTTAAATATATTTTTATTGAGATCATGTTTTCCAGCACTCAGGACATAATAGTGCCATCAGAAATTATCAGACTTTATGGAGTTTCTGCAGGGTCTAAAAAGATTTTGAACTTGATCTTTGGTGCCTGTCAGCCCTTGCCATCTACTAATTAATAGTGAAGTCCCCTTGAGTGACTAAGACCAGATTCCTTGCATCTTGCAGTGTCAAGGGCTTATTTTCATTTCAAGCTGCCCATTTTGTTCCTGTTTCATGACTGGAATGTTCCAGGCTCCTGCACATTTACAGAGAAGAAATGATGAAACTAACTCACTTGAAGAAACTAAACTATTTCTTTATTTCTGCAGTTTCTTTATTTCAGCTGACATCAGAATCATCTGGAAAGACTTGTTAAAATTCATTTTAATGGGCTTCATCTGGTCTAGAGTTTCTGATTGAGTAGGCCCAAGAATTTATGGTTCTAGGTGATGCTAATGATGCCAGTTTATGAGAACCATTGGTCTGGTAGTTCTCAAAGCTAACATATCAGCAACAAAACCTTGGAGATTTTTTTTTTGGAATTTACAGAATTTCAGGCCCTGCCCTTATCTACTGAATCAGTTACTTAATTGATTGATGCTTTAATGCTCAGTATACCATCAGGGTTCATTGGACCCATTTTTTATTTTTAAATTTACTTGAGAAGTTCTATTTGTAAGGTTTGATATTTCCATTACTTTTATTCCTTTTTAGGGGTCTTCCAAGAGAGAAAATTGAGTTATATTTTTTCTAGAATAAAGCTTATTTGATTTTGAAATTACCATATTGGTCTATTGGAGCCTTTTATAAATCTATAGTACATTGTGGTATTTTAATGATCTTTTTTTCCCCCAATATTTCGTAACATTTTGCTATTTCATTATATTAGCAATCATTTTACTATTACTTACCAATTATTCTCAACTATGCTAAAAAGAATGAAATAATTACGATGGAATCCTCTGGAGCAGAGGTCAAACAAACTGCAAATCTATAGGCCAAATTTGATCTGCTACCTATTTTTGTAAATTAAATTTTATTGTAGCATAGCCTTGACCATTGCTTTATACATATATTATCTATGGCTGCCTTCACACTACAGTAGCAGAGTTGGGTAGCTGTGACAGAGATCTTATGGCAAGCAAAGCTGAAAATATTTACTATCAGGCTCCTTTCAGGAAAATAGAGTATTCTCATCCAGTTAGTCACTTCAACAGAAGGGACTTTGGACAAAAACGGGAACCCCCCTTTTATGCTAAAAGAATGTATGACACTGTTTTTCATCTTTTATGATGTCTGTGCACCCTAACTTATTTGCTATTGCTTGTAAGTGAACAAATGCTAAAGGTAGATGATTGGAAAGAAATGAAAAAAGTCATTGGTTTGATCATTCAAATTGTTTATCAATCTAAAAGTGAAAATGTTTCGCAAATTATGGAGCAGAGAAGATGGTTGTCCTCTTTATCAAAATGATAAGCCATGAAAAGGTTTTAAAAGTTCCTTTAAGCATTGTATTTTGATAATGCAAATATAAAAATAAAACGAATGAGCTATAACAAATCAAAGATGTATCTGAAATCTGGAGTCAGTAATTATTTACAAGATTGTTATTTCCAAATTTAGGCATAAAATTAGTAAGCAATTATTTGCACTCAGGACATAATCCATTTCTAGTGTGTATGTCTTTAAAACCAGGGAAATTCACAATAAAAACTTGCATATAATGTATTTATATCTTATTAAAATGCCTAAAAAAATTTTTTTGCTGTCTTTTTCTGTAAATTGTTAATCAAATGACTTTAAAAAAAGGGGGAATGGTATGTTGGATGCAGATTGTAGTGACAACTATTTTCCCTAGTATACTGAAGATTATAAGCTTCAGAAGAGAATACAGGTCTAACAAGATTTTCCATGAGTTATTTAAAGATATGGGATGAGTACATGGCATTTCATTGTACTCTTCCCTCTGCTTTTGTATATATTTGAGATTGTCCATAATAAAAAGTTTTTTAAAAGGTTTCCATGTAAATCTGATGTTTTAACGTGATTGGAAACTGGTGTTACTTTTTTTTGGGGGGGGGGATAAGTCAGTTTATTGATGTGCTGTAACCACCACAGACACATTAACCGGAGGACTTGATTCAGAATCTGTCCAGAACCTGGGAGCAGGCAGGAACACCATGATGACAGATGGCAGGACAAAACCGTGGTCAATCTGCAGGGGTTTCCTTCAATATTTCAGCACGTGATTTCTCCTGGTGTGGCCGTAGTTTACCGTGAACGTGATTTAGTCAGTCTTCACGCAGAGGAGACGGAAAATTAAGTGTAAATGGAACGGTTCCCGTTACTCACTTTTGGGTTTGCCACGTGTATGCCAAGTTACCAGAACTGAATGGGCTCACCTTGGGGGACATCCCCGCGGAGAACAAGGTCAGACAGACGACTGTTTGCCATTCTCGCCTTGGCGTAGGCAGTGTAGTGCCCGGACCTCATGGTACCGCTGTGCTCCACGACTCCATACAGGCAGTATCCTGGTGCTTTCTTCAGCCACATTCTTACATTTAGCAGTACAAAAAGGAGCCAAATCTAAGATCTCCGGAAATTTTACGTGTTTGTTAACTTTGCATAGGTTAAAACCAGCCTGCTGAAATCGCTTCAAATGAAGGGTGAGAACAGGAGCGAGAGAAATCAATATCTGCTTTTTGGCACTGGTGTAAACATGTTTCTTTTCACCTTCTAGGTTTGCCTTTGGTGCACCACACTGTCTCCGGGTGCACACTTCACACAGCAGCTTGTTGGCATCTCGGAGCTTCTCGTTCTGGGTGAACTGGTATAAGCAGTGCTGGATGGAGCACTCATCAGCACTGGACGCGTCCCTGTTCGCAAGGGTACAGAAGGCAGTTTCTGGATCTTGGCCCACACACTCGTACAGCGTGGTCCCGGGAGCAGGGCTGCCATTCAGAATCTCCAGATGTATGTCGTCAGGGTGAAGAGCAGCATCCAAGTGCAGGTTCTGGAAACCCCTAGAAATGTCCACTTCCCCACCGCCCCCCGCATCCAGGCAGGCACCGTTCAAACTCCCGGGACAGTCAGTGGGAGAAGATGACAAAACCTCCAGGTCGTTATCCACACTGACACTTTTCACATCTACGTCCTCTGTGAATTTTTGATTGTCAGTTACATTTTCTATCATTTTCTCTTGGTCATTCAAGTCATTCTGATTAATATAATATTCTTTATTTATAACTTCCTCTTGTGAGAAGTACAACTAGTACAACACATATATAAAAGTACTAATTCCACACTTAATTTGATAACAGTAGTCTTAGAGTAAGTAATTTCTTAAGAAAATTCTTTCTACTTTCCTTATGTACTTATTTCAGGCTTGCCTCAAATAAAAGGTCATTTATTATACCCTATATTAAAGACTAGGGGAAGGGTTGGTTGCCTCCTGCACTCTCCCCCTCAGATTTCCATCCCTTAAATCTTTCAGGGGTTGTTACCAGTGAGAGGATGAGACCTTGGTTCTTGTCTTCTTGAAGGAAAGGTTTCAATCAAGAGACAGAGTGTAGAAAAGCAAGCAAGAATTTATTGACCACCACAAAAATGTACTTAGGACAGAGAAACAAGGAAGGGCATTGAAGAGGTAACAGGAGAGCCTAGGCTGGGCTGACTTAGCTCACTGGAAAGTCAGAGAAAAGGGGGCCTTGGAGACAGGTTCAGAGGGTTAGCCGGGAAGGAGCTGCCATTGCCCATTGCTCCTTTGGTTCCAAGCCTCATTGGGTCCCTTGGAGTTTAGGAGATATGTGGGGGAAGAAGAGGGGGAAAGGAATGGTATGGGTGTGCTCCCTGGAGGGAGAGCCCACATGACCTTTGTTTAGAGGCGTTTTAAAGGCTGGGTGTTTAGGGGAGGATCAATAGAATATTCATCAGCTTTATGCAGATGTACCAAAATGAGATTTACTCTCTTAATTTGTCTGCCCTTGGGTATGGCTGGCAAATGGCACTAACTGGATTTCTGTTTTGTCTCCCAGAGTAGGGTGATTTGAGCTATTTACCCTCAGGTTGGGGAGAAGTGCAAACCATTTACTCTTAAGTTTCCTTGGTTTAGGGAAGATAGGATTTAGTAGTGGCCACAAATTGCTGTTTAACTGTTACCCTATTCCACTTATCCTGGAATGTTCCTAGCTTCTTACCATGCTATAACATATCCAGTAGATAGTAGGCACCAAGTAATAACAATTCCTATAATTTTTTTATTTTCCAAAGTAGCTTTTCTCGACTTTAATCTTGCAACCCAAGAAGTACTATCAGACACATTCTGATTGACTAATTAAAAAAAACAAGCAAGGTGAGTCTTCCTTTGACTGCAGAGGCCAAAGATCAGTTTAAGAAACTTCAGTTTTTACTATTACTTACCAGGCTGAGCATTTCTGAGGCTGTTGATTCTGTTTTGCTGTGAGACTGGCCACATGGCACAGTCCAGACCACTCAAGTGACTGCCTGAGTTGTCCCCCCGCAATGAAATCAGCTGTGCCAGGAGGGTGTCAGTTGTGGGAATCCTCACCAGCACACAGTTTAAAATGTGGAAGGTATTAATATTTAGCATGGACTTAAATACTTGATCGTGTTGTTACTCTTGTTATTGCCCTCCCCGCCCCCAACCTAAGTCCAAATCTATTCCTACACCTCCTCTTCAGAAAGAAGGTAGAATATAAAAATCTCCTGACAAAGTATATATTGAAGATAAAATTAAATCCCTCATTACAGAGATTTTAGTCAGAGTGACTGAATCTGTGGTTGCCAGGATACAAGCTGAAATAAGCAGGTTTAGGGATTGGGTTGGGAAGCCTCTGGTGCTGTGAAGAAGTGTATCACAAAGTGGGAGCCTGGGTGTCGCAGCCCATCTGGGGCACACATGTTATTTACATCCCTAATCACATAAAAGGTGATGAACAGCCCAAGATGGTTTGCCAACAAATAGAACCTTTTACCATGCAGTAGTTACAATGGCCAAAAATTAAAAACCAGTTAGAAAATAATAAACACATTTATCAAACTATTCTAAGTAAATCAGTTGATTTGAGATCCTGACACAGAAAATCTAATTTTTCAGAATAAATCATTATACTAAGAATACTAATAAAAAAAAAAGACTAAATTTGGCCAGTAGATAATCTTAATGAGATTTTTCAGAATAAATCATTATACTAAGAATACTAATAATAAAAAAAAAGACTAGGAAAAAATATGTAAAAATTGGAAAGAGGACTAAATTTATGAAATGTGATACAAAAGCCAACGTGCATAAATGAAACAACACATTGTTATATATGATTAGTGCAATAAATTTGGCCAGTAGATAACCTTAATGAGGAAGGACTGGAACGTGATTTTAACTAAATGAACTTAAGTTTTATTTTATTAATATTCCTGAAAAACAGGCTTACAGTAGAACATGGTTTGTAGGACAACCATATAAGGAAAGCTCTAAGAACTCTGACGTGTGACTCCAATGCCACCCAGGGAAGATCAGGGGATATGAGTTCCAAAACCAGCTGATAGTATCAACACCACCTCCCTGGCTGGACTACTTCACTAGTAAAGATGAATAGTATGACAGCCAAACCCTATGAGTGATTAGATCAATTAACTCTCCAGAGGCATTGATACCATCCATGAGTCATCATGAACCTTTAAAAAAACAAATGTAAGGGAGAAAGGCTCTTCCTTTCTGTCTACCCCCAGCCATCAGGTAAGCCGAGATGGGTGCTTTTAAGTACATCCAGGAGCTGTGGAGGAAGCAGTCCGATGTAATGCACGTCCTTCTTAGGGGTGTTGGGGGCAGTACCTCCAGATCTCTATGCTCTACAACCCACCACCACCACCACCACCAGGCACTCTTCCTAACCTGGCCCTATAAAGTGCACAGGTTGGGATACAAGGCCAAGCAGAGTTATGCCATATATCAGATTCATGTGCTCTATATGCTGGCCACAAATGCCCTGTTCCTAAGAGTGGTACCTAAGGCAAGACTGTTCATCAGTTGGTGTTAACTAAAGTTTGCCCCAAGCCTTCAGTCTGTTGTGGAGGAGTGAGCTGACCAACATTGTGGGACTCTGAAAGTCCTGAATTCTTACTGGGTTGCTGAGGATTCAATGTACAAACTTTTTGAGGTTATTCTCATTGATCCATTCCACAAGGCTATCAGGAAGAATTCTGACACCTATTGGATCACCAAACGGGTCCACAAGCACAGGGAGATGTGAGTGCTGACATCTGTAGGCCGCAAGAGTCCTGGCCTTAGAAAGGGCCACAAGTTCCACCACATTATTGGTGGTTCTTGCCATGCAGCTTGGAGAAGGCTCAATACTCCACAGCTCCACCGTTACCACTAATTTAAGTAATGTTTGTAAAATTCTTATCTAATAAACAATTTGGGACAGTAAACACACACACACACACACACACACACAAACTATAAACAGTGATTCCCATATCATTAGCTAAGATTAGACAATGATCTTCCTATTTGCTGTCAAATATCTACTAAGCATACCTAGAAGCAATACTAGACTCAGCGTTCTCAACCTGTGGGTCGTGAACAATGAAAATACATCCTGCATATCAGATATTTACATTACGATTCATAACAGTAGCAAAATTATAGTTATGAAGTAGCAACGAAAATAATTTTATGGTTAGGGGTCACCACAACATGAGGAACTGTATTAAAGGGTCGTGGCATTAGGAAGGTTGAGAACCACTGTAAGTGGAAAATCAAGCAGAGCAATGACAAAGTCCCATTATATTCCTTTTGAGAGTGAACAAGCCATTCCTTCAGATGGCAAGTGCCATTCATTCTTTTCATAAGTGTGAAATCTTGCCAACTTTTAAATACCAAGTTATTCATGTCTAGTCCACAACTACATCAAGAGCTGACATATCAATAAATGCTATGAAAACCTTCATATTCTTGGATGTTTTTTAAGAGATGAAACAGTGTAATAATATACACTGATAAAATGAGTTAATAAATACATGTTTTCTCATACAAGAAGTTAAGAAGAGAATAAACAAATTTTCATGAGACATGTAGCAAACCAGTTAGTTTGGAATTTGAAGATAAAGGATTCCCATTCTGCAAAAATCAGGTAGACTATACTTTGTATCATAATGAGGACACTGGCCTTGAAGAGATAGATTAAATAGTTTGCTAACATTGGGGGAGGAGGCTGACAAGTGGGATAGGATCTCAATCATTTGCCCCCCCAATTCACAGTGATTAATCAAATAAATTATAGCAAATAGACTAAATATGCCAGACAGGTAAAGTTCTGAACTCTTTAAAATCATTTTTGCAGAGAGAAATAAATACAAGATAAATAGCCCTTGAATTTTTCACTAGAAAAATGCATTACATTCTATAGAAACTCAGGTCCGACACTTTCCTAGTTATAATTGAACTGTGCAGGTATGCCTAATGCTTTTTACATTTGTTTAAACCTAAATTTAAACAAATTCAAACTTAAATTTCTCCTGAGGTCTGCTTAAGACAGTTATCTTTGCTAACTTTGTGAGGAAGTTATTTTTCCTTGTTTGTAATTCCTGGGACGAGGTATAGGGAGACTCTTCCAGCACATAATTAGAAAACATTAAGTACTCTCTGGGACTTTGTCACATACAGTTGTGTTCAAAATGTATTCCTAGTGTGTATGACATATGTATACATGTATAGCCAAGGGGTATATGTACATATTTTATAATTGTCAATTAAGTACATACCTAATAGCCCCGTGTCTACATCATAGCCAAGGGGTATATGTACATATTTTATAATTGTCAAGTGACAATTAAGTACATACCTAATAGCCCCGTGTCTACATCGTCTTCATTCTTCAAATTCTCAGCATGTAAGTCTGTAAATACAAAAATGGGCTTGGGTAAAAAAGATAATTTGAACAGTAGCTTAAAGTTTAAGCTGGGAAGACACTATGGAGTTGTGGAAAGTGCTGTAGTGTCAGAAGCAACTGGGTTCAAACTGACTCCACTTAGTAGCTATGTGACTTTCCACAGGCAGGTAAGAGGGCTTTGGGTCAACTGTCATATATGTAAAATGGGGATGTTTATCCCCTGGGGTGGTTGTGAAAGCATTTCATGTAATGCAAATGAATGAGGCACACTATGTTTTAAATTCAGTTCCTTTCTCCACTCTCCGAAATATGCCCAGCTCAGTCTTCTGCAATGGACTTCCAGGTTTTGTGACTTTATGATAAAAAGGCAATCTCTCAGAGCAAAAGGGAGATAAAAGTACCTACAAGATAAACCTCAGAACTGCACTGAAAAAGAAGGGGGTAAGGAGAGTGATAGAGTAGTGATATGGCACACATATATTTAACATTGACAGTTTACAAACAATTATCATTGTATGAATAGGTAAAAATTGTCAACTTGTTTCCTTTGAATTTTAAACATGGTAAGCTGCTAGATGCCACTTGCAGCCCAATAGCTTGGAAGTAATAAGGAAAAATAAAAACTGTAATTAAATGGATTTAATTCTATTTAGTGAACTAAAATTAATACTTGAGTGTGTTGGGTGTTTTTCATACATTAAAGGTAATGTTGCTTTAAATGATTTTTTCAGTAACGTTGCCAAAGTCACACAGGAGTGAAAACAGATTTAAACTCAGGTCTGAGTGTTTCCGCTGTAACCGCATAATACATCCGTATAGAGTTTGGAAAACTTTTCAGGGCACATCTCCTTCTATTCAAACCTGGCCAATATGTCAACGTCAGACGCAGGAAAGGAAAACTATTACCCAGAGAAAGTGGACTCGCTCCCGCAATAGAACTTGATCGCTACAAAAGCGAGAGGGGCCGATTATTTTACCAATAAAAGTAGAAATCTGGGCAGCGGGGTCGAAATCCCCGTCCTTCAGGAATTCTGTGCGTGTACAGAGGACTCGGTGGACAGCACATCTCTAATCACTTGTAAATTAGTCTTTGAACACGTGTAGCCTATGTTACTTACACTTTTCACCGTCTTTCAATGGTCGTTAAAAGTGTTCACTGACTCTAAGATATGAGTTAACTCGAGGTCCTTTTTTAAAATGGACTCGGGCCACCCACTTTCAAGAACAGTGCGGGAAAAGGGAGGAGGGCAAAGAAAGGCGCCGTCAACGGTTCTGGGCGAAGCTGGCCGCCAGCTTGCCGGCCTGGCCTTTCCCGGGGAGACGGGCGGCGAAGGCGAGAGCCGCGTTCAGGCTCAACTTCATTCTGGACACCTTTGTCAAGGCCCAACCTGCAGTACCTTTCACGATCAGGTAGGCGATGGCGAGAAGGCAAGCGAGGAGGACGGCAAACAGCAGCGCACAGAGAATCGAGAGGACCTGCACCGGCCACCGCCGCGCCCGGGCTGGGCCGCGCGCCTCCGCCGAGAAGAAGCCGTTGCGTTTGTCAGGCAGGACGGGAGAGCCGTCCTTCTCCGGCGGGAGCAGCGCGCCCTTTCTAGGCTCCGGCGACGCCCCCGCGGACAGTTCCGCCCGCAGGTCGCGGGCTACTTGGTCGTATCCCTCCTCGTCGTCGACTTCACCTTCACCCCAACTGTCCCCTTGAGTCAAGGCGGATAACCTCGGCCGAGCGAAAGGGACTGGGGTGCCGCGTCGGCGGCGCTGCAAAGAGGAGCGCTTCGCGCTCTCCACGAACGACATGGCGGGAAAGACACCGAG